TGAAGTGAGCCGCTGCAGCCCTTTACATTTCCCGCGATTGAACACTGACTCTGACTGACTGCGGAAACAGTCACATCTGGTTGTATTTCAGCTGAGAAGATAATAATGTTACTCTGTATGATGTGTGTGCAAAGACAGTGAAATACTTTGGCAACACCGCAAACTTCGCTAAACATCTAAGATTAAGTCAGGGTGAGCAGATGAGAATGGGGGGCGTGGCTACAGGTACTGTCAATAAACATTCCCACACGTGAAAATCTAAACAGCGCTAAAATTAATTATCTTTTTCATGAAATTGCCTGTTTGTCATTAGGAAAAACACAACAACTGTGGATATGTGACAATGAGTAAATCATGATCTTTTACCTAATTTTTATTTTATTCATGTCATCAGTGCGGTCTCTGTCACAGCTGTCTTTGCAAGGTGCATGTCAGATCTCTCCGCCGTGGCTACCTGAAGCTACACTTTCCCTGTCCTCGCGACTCTAACTTCCACTAACCACGAGAAAACAAAATGGGGAAAAGAGCACAATGACTGTTACTTTGTGGCTTTAACAACGCTGTTGCCACAATGTACAGATAACCTGCAACCCCTGCTGGAGCAAGAGAACTACACAACGGTCAGTATTTAATGTTTAATTAGGCTATAATCAAAACTCAAGTTAGGTCTAATTTTTGGGACAAACCGGGACATTTGCTCATAATTCGGCACTGTCCCGGATTTTTCGGGACGTCTGGTCACCCTATTCACAGTAATAGGGTGATGTTATAATGTTTTTATTATAATTAAAGAATATGACAGTAGTTTGATGTCTTGTCATTATGGAGCTATTATTTTGAATTGGTAAGGCTACAGCCTACTCCTTATTTCTCTCATAAATACAGAAACGGGAGGGGGAGGTCACATTAAACTAGAAATAAAATATGTAAAAATATTGGTATCGGCAATACCAGCCTGGGTATTACTTGGTATTGGATCGTTTAGGAATTAAGTGGTATCGCACATCACTAGTGTTGGGCAAGCTACTTGGAAAATGTAGTGAGCTAAGCTACTAGCTACTCTACATTAAATGAAGCTTCACTACACAGAAGCTACCCCACAGTGAAATGTAGCAAGCTAAGCTACAGCAACGTGGCAACAGTAGCTTAGTTACATCTAAGCTACTTTTATATTTTTAATATTTTATAGTTGGGTCATCTATATATATAAAACTCTACCTACAAAATAAAATGCACATTGTATATAATAATAGATTTTCACTTTTTGTAAACAGCCCCTAGAGAACATCTATTGTGCTAAAAAAAAACATCTTCAGCTTTAAAATGGGCAAAAATCAGTGATGACAGTGCAGCTTTGAAAACAGAGTACTTCTCAGTCTATTATATGTCTGTCCTGCAGAAGGTTTTGTTAGGTTATTGGCACTTAAAAAATCTCTTTTTCTTGTTTCATTCCTTGTTTAACACTAAATTATTCAGAGCAAAAAATGAACCAAGAGTGATCTTATTAAATGATCACTTGTTTCTGTTGTCCTGACTGTGATATTGGTATTGCCACAGCATTTTCAGGAACATTATTCATTTGAAACCCATTGACTGAGATCAATAATGCATTGGTTCATGTGGTGTTATCAACCAGCAGCTGTTAGGATGGGACTGTTCCAGATGGAGGGTTACAGAAGAATAAACGTGTTGAATAATTCCAGCACAGACTAAAGTGTGATCTGATGAAGAGAAAATCCAAGTTAAGGAAAGAATTATAAAGAGAGGAGAGTGATGAAGAGATCAACAATACACCCCAAAGGGAAAACACTGTCACCTCATTTCCTCAGTTTCAGGTAATTTTGAGTAAACAAAAGCAGATGTTCAAACAGAACTGGTACTCAGATGTATTCACCAATGAGATGCAAAATGATGCCGGTGTGTGTGTATGTTTGTCTTTTTTAGGGAAGAGGGGAGTGTGTGTGAAGGGCTTTAAATAGTGAGCATTTACTTGTTTGCCTCTTAAGTCTTGCATAAAAAAAGAGATATGAATTAGAACAATTATCGAACTTGGAAAACATATTAGAATTCCCCTTACTACTGCACTGAATTGGGTAATTAGGGGAAGAATTGTCTTGAGAATTCATGTATTTTTGGGCTCATTGCAGTAAAGTGTCTGAGTAATAGGCTGCTCCACAGTCTCTGGTTTCGTCCCACAGTATAAGCTCATGCACTCAAACAAGAGAGAAAATAGGGTTGGATATAATTTCTTGATAAAACAAAGAAGAATATAATCAAAAAGAAAGCTGCAGAGAATGTAGGCGCTGAATGTGTGATAACAGAAACTATCCACAAAACTCACTGAATTCATTGAGAACAATTCAAATAATTTGACGAAAGAAGCACTGGAAAGCATTCCCCTGTTTGTGGCTCCCATAAATCCTGTTGTGTTTTTGCAATTAAATTGTCTGGAAATACATGAAATAACTGCAAAACACTTTTTTCTTTCAAAGTTAAGTAGAACTTTAGAGCACATTAAAAGCATAATATTGCATTTACATGACACTATCAGACACTTTCAACCCCTGGACTCGTTTAGGCTGAAGGCTCCGGGAGAAACAGATACTGGAGACAAAACATCTATACTGCCCACAGGCTGTAAGTGCTGACACCTAATACCTAATACCTTAATAATTGGCCGCACCTGAGACAGCCACAGATTGCAAATATAACAAAAAGAAAAGAAACTGAAAGAAACTGCTTACCCCAGCTATAAACGACAAAATAGGTTATATGTCATTTCCATCCTAAATGACTCTTAATTGTTCCAAAAATGATTCATATGAGCATCTTCTGCACCCCACCTAAAAATAAAAATCTGGTCATAGCCATTGTGTGTAGGATTGGACGATTGACTTATTTCTCTACAAGAACCAATTTACAATTTGAAAGATGCAACAACCACGTAAAAGTATACACAGAGTAGCTTTAGGTTTAGGCAACCAATACTGCTTTAGGAAGGAAAAATCTGCTTCATGGTGGCCTCACAATTTTACAAACAGCATGAAATGTTTTTGCCAGTGACACAAAATAAAGTACACACAACACAAATTACTGAGGTGATGTTTTGTTGGAATGTATTCCTTAAAAGCTTCTTGAATCTCTGCTCCTTTTTGATACAAAGACTTCATGTGGACTTCCAGAACCAAAATAAAAGTACTGTGAACCAATTTCACAACAATACATTTTCACAAGTTTTTTATATAAGAAGATATAAAAAAATTTCCCGCTCATGTTCAAATCAATTTTATGAGAATAAAGCATCAAAAACATGAATTCTTCCATGACTCCACTCTTTTTAACTTTAGATGCCTATTGTTTGGCGGTTTGGCTTCAGGTGGTCACAGAATTGACTGGGGTTTTGACAAAATGCAGCATGACACATTGTTTCTCTATCCAAGCTTGACCCCCTACTGGACATTTCCCACATGGTGACAGGGTAGCAAAAATTACATGACATGGGTCACTAAATATAGCAAGAAAGGCTGCCACTAAGGCGCTAAGAAGTAAACAAGAGAGGAATGGTGGATTTCTTTTTCGGGTAAGGCCATGCTTCATCTTCTTCCTCGCTGTTCTCTCTCTCCCTAATCATAAGGGAGTCCATAGGGATGCCAATATTTAGACCAGCAGTTGCTAATGTCTCCAGGGCTTGGTGATAACCCGCCTAAATTCCTGTGCTTCACTTTATCAATTGAATACATAGCATATTGTGATTTATGGTTGTAAAGTTTTAGTTGTTTGCCTCAGTGGAACTGCCTCAGAGGCAGGCTGCACACTGTACCTATGTAAAAAAAACAAACTGTGATCGATGTTCACTTTTAATGTGCAAGCGACTGTTTAAAGGATCAGTCCTCTCTCTCAAAAAAAAAAAAATAGAATTAGATTTCTGCCATCACTTCAATACAATTGAGGTAAATGGAATTGTAAACGTTGCTCAAAGGATTTACTAATTACATTTTAAAATTTCAACAGCTATTCCAGAGACATCCTGGTTACTCTGGATAACCCACAAACCTTACTGTAAATAGCTTTAGCTAAAAGTCACTAAGACTAACTTTGGAAAGACACTATGGAAACTTTTTAAATTTAATCTTTCACTGCTGTGAGCATCAAATGTTTCCATTTCACCTCCACTGTATCGGAATGGAGACGTATTAATAAAACCAAACCTATATCCCTGACTACTATGTTTGTGTTTTGTAATTTTAATCTTGACCCTTTAAGTGAGTCGTAGAGGATTAATTTTACAGAGGAACTCCCTCTTCATGCTCACCTCCACGCCTAAATTTACTGGGCAAATTATTTAGGCTGTGTTGCCGAAAGCAGGCTAAAATTTGCAGTGATAAGTTATACACCATTTAGACTGCATTGGGCCAGCAAATCACTTAGCAACTCAAATTTCACTGTTACCATAAAGTTGCACTTACCGTAGAATGTGGCCAGACAGAGTCCATTACAGTCCCGTCAGACACTACAGGACTGTGATTTGGTGTTGTTACTCTTTTGAGGGAGTTGGCATAATTACTGCTCTTAGACACGATCTCATCTCAAAGGTATTTTAATGCCGGCAGTCAAACTTGTCTACCTCATCACTCCACATACACTGAATTAGCAGCAGATAAATTGAGACTAAGCAGATAACATCTCCATTTTTTTTTACTTTGTGCCATAAATTGGAGGGTGCTTCAGTCACTGCTATGGCCAAAGCTGTACTTTATCTTCTGTAGCTCCTAGGCCATTTACAAAGAATGGTGTATGCTTTTAAAAGCTGCCTTTAATCAGTGAGTGAACCATGACTGGTACACGCAACAAAGCCTTTTTGGACAGCTTTTGGCCATTGTTAAGGAAGACAAATATCGTTGTCTTTGTGTAACAGGAGTGAGGGCAGGAATCAACAGCTGCAGCTACAGTAGTTGGTTAAACAAGAACTGGTGTGTTTAGGCCCGGGGCTGTTGACTTACCCCTGTTTGACTGCTTTGTGCTTGTTCACATCGATGGTGGTGATGGAATGCTTGGCGCCGGACTGCACCTCCCAATCCACCTTCCACTGGGCGTTCTTCGACTTGGTCTGAAGCAGGTTCACCCCTTTCTTTGCTTTGACCCTGCAGGAAATGGGGAGGGAAAAAGAATGGGATGAGTCAATTTTATTAGAGGGGATGATTTATGTGCAAGGTCAGAGGTGAGCACCCTCTGTGTGCAGCAAGCCTCCTCCTTGTATTGCGTCATGGCAAAAGCAATTCCACAGATGAATCAATAACAGAGATGAATGAAGATGACAGTGCAATGATACATGAGGCCAGAAGCTAGGACTACTTCAGGTCTTTACTCAGCACCCAGTAGACATTTATACAGTATTATTAACCAATGACACCTGAAAGCCTCAGTTCACATGCTCTGTGAAAACATTTAGACATACAACTAATGAGACATTTCATAAAGACACGATAGCATTATGCTTTAATTGATTCTGAGGTGAAATCCTCCTTCTATAACCCTCAGCTCCCCAGGGAGAATACATTGAAATGATAAGTCAAGGTGAGCTACATAACAGGAACCCTGGAGCTGGTAGGGATTCACCTGTTTTTCCCAAGGACACTTCAGCAGGGAGGATGTTTGAACTTGGAAACCGCTCACACTCCCCTGCTGTCTTTTAATATCTCAGGGGTTCACATAAAATAGGCCAGGGACTGAAATTAATGATCAGTTTTGAGCACTGCAATGTTTTATTGCTACATGCATGTCTTTAAAATTTTGTGTAGTTATTTTTTTGCGATTATTTCTTTTTTTCATGAATATATTGCCATGATTTACATGTAGATGTATTAGCACTTCACTTGATACATATTTAGGAAAAATATACATCATACTGCAAATACTAATTAAATGCTTCTCTCACACCATATCTGGGTTAGAAATAATCACAGTAAACCTAATATACGTGTGTATGTGTGTGTCCTTACAATGTGTACATTCTCACAAACCTAAATACAAACATATGTACACTAGGACTGTCCCCAAATAAGGATGTACATAGTCGAATCAGAATAGTCAAGTCCTGCCTATAGTCGACTGATAGTCGAATAATGTGTGTTTTTGTGCACGGTGATTGCGAGCCAGGGGGTTAACATGGTAGCTCTGCTTTAATCTTTAGAAGCTGCAGAGCTGCAGTCTGTATTCATTCAACTTCCACTGTAGATTTCTAGCTAAACTGAGGCTTATTGTTGACCCTTTTCTCTCTGATTGCCTGCCATTCACCGGTCGCGTGCAGAGTTTAGTGTGCATGCCATGCTGCCGACAACGGCACGATCCTTGTTTCGCTGCGAAGCTTCGACTGAGATTGTCAAATCAGGCTCCGCCCATCGAAGCATCGAATCTTCAACTTTTCGGGGTCAGCCCTAATATACACACAAATCCCCCAGGTACAATCTACACATGCATACACCAACATACTTTCAAAACATATAGTGTCTGCAGAGATTTTGCATCATCACCTACTGAACATGCATGTGTGTATACAGTACAACACATCTGCTTAAGTATGTGCACATCTATATGTATATCTGAAAGCCTTGGAAAAAGGCAGAGAGAAGAGAAAAGCTGAAGCTACTGTAAATACAGCAAATACAGAAAAAAGTAGTTATAAAGGAGTACAAAAAGACAAAATAATAATGGAAGGACATTCAGCTTTTAACTGCAATATGCAGCAAGTACTTTTCCATTTCTTAAAGAATGGTCAGACCTTTTTCACACCTAAATTGTACAATTTTAAGATATACAGGTGCGACATCCAGATTTAGACTTGAACCTGAAAAATCAATTAAAATATTGAAAAGATGTTAAAGACTGTGAAAGTAAGCAAGGAGGCTTTTCTAAACCACAAAGAGAAAGCAAAAACTTAAACACTCTTCCCAGTTATTGTGATTCTGGTCATATGACCATAGAGCCACGCCCAACTGCTGCACTTATACATGATGGAGACAAGAGTCTCATCCACAGACATGCAGACCCAGTGGAGCTTATTGATCTGATTCTGTTCTCATTTTCATGAAACACAAGACAGAGATGAATTATTAACATATTTGGCTTTCGTTTGTCTGCCTTGTACCTTCAAGATAGTTTATTTATAACCAGACTGGAAGCTAAGTTAATGTTAGCTCAGTCACAGACACTAGGAAGGAATTTCAAATTCTGTATTAAACATTAAATAATAATGATAGAGTGTATCAGACAAGCGTCGTCATTTTGGTTATGAAAGTATGACTGACAATTGCTGCTTTACTGTATGCAAAACTCTTGGGATTTTAATTATTTTGTCTTGTTTACAGGAAAACACCGTATTGTCTTTCTCTTCCCGTCATGAGATCACTGCATTTCCACACAGACAAACCAGAGCTCTGCCTGGACAAAAAAAGCATTACCTAAATAATAGTTTTCTCTTAAGTGTCTCATTTACATTCGGCTGAAAGTTTGAGATCCCTGCAACTTCTTCCAAATCGTTCCATTCAGATAAAAATTCCTGCTGAGGTTTTTCCATTTGCTTAGCTAACCTGTGCTCACTGCATCGACCACTCATCCATGATTTGTGGAAGCAACTGACTTCAGCTCAAGCTGTCTCCCCCCTTTCTTCAGCCAGAATAAGCACACAAGCCTAAATGAAGCTGCATTTTAATGTAATCACCACCATTCTCATTTTGTTGCTGATAGTATTTAACAAATGATTAATGGAAACTATGCAAGCTAATTATAACCATATAACTTCTCATTAGCCATCAAGTTACAAGTCTATAACAATTTGAACTAAGTCTAAATGTTGCTTATTTTATCGGTTGAACTTAATGACAAAACAGGTTATTGTCATTACCTTCCAAAATTACGCATTTGAACATTTTCTGATCTGATACAGACATCAGCAGCACAACAGTTTATGTCAGAGCCTTCCAAAACTTTTACAACTCTTTGATCTACAGCCTCTAAAATAGTTAGGTTTAAGCACAAAAAGTATTTGGTTAAGGTTAAAGAAAGCTGTGCCTGCCACCTAGGGCACAGAGGGCATGTTCTCTGAATTGTTCATGGGAATTGAGGAGTTTTAATAACGTCAGGAGTTTACATTCCACAGTAACTTTGAGGAGTCAGTATTCTCAGATTTGACTGTTAAAGGTCAATAAAAAATCATGAATAAAAGGATTTTGTATTTCTCCAACAGAATTACTTTCCTAGAATCATAAACGGTTCTGAAACAGCAATTATTTTGTAGGGATATAAAGAGTTCACTCTTGACCTAATAATAATAATCTCAACTCAAAGGTCCACTTACAACCCCTGTCCATGCTCTTCATCGGTGAATGAAACTGGCTCAGGTGTCATCATGTCACTTATATACCCATATATGACCACATGTTATGACGTGACACTACATTCAACACTTCATGTGTTAAGAATTGGGTAGGTCCAATCACTGATGACTCTGTGAGATGAAGTTGAAAACTCAGAAAAAGCTAGTAAGTGGTCCTTGAGTTGAGATTACTTTGTTCAACTTAAATAAAACATATTTTCACAGTTAAATAACCAAACGTGCAAACAGTTTACACACTTCTGTATTGGCAACTCAAGGATTTCTTAGGGGGGATGAGTTGAGATGAGGGCATTATGATTTATTACCATTCACTGAACCTCAATTAATGAACTTCAATAAGGATTTTGCATTTGCTGCCCCAAACACGCCATGCCTAGTACAAATCCTACCATCAAAAATGGTGTATTTTAATTTTCAAATTTGTTTGAAAGAACCGAACAGGAGGTTCTCCCAGGTCGCGGCTTTTAACACATTGTTTCTTGTTATTGCAGCTCTTATTGTCTTCTTTCATCAAATCCTCCACATTAGAGAAAATACAGTAATTATCTGATACAGCTCCGATAAGGGGAGATGAAACAGAAATGTGTAATGTTTAAGAAATCATCGTGATCGAGCGTGTTGCCTTTGATGTGAGTTGAAAAGGGGAAACGTAATACCCTCAGACTCTCACTAAATTAGGTGACCCAGTTGCTACTTGATTACTGTAGCTTGTAAAAATACTGATCATAAGAGATGATAATTACACATTATTGTAGGGCATAACCATTTCCTTGTAAGGATGCAACCCTGATGAGTAATACTGGTATTTATATTCATTACTTACACATGCAAGCAGATAATAAAAGCCAATGCACAGTCATCATCATCATTTTTAGAGTGTATGCATATTGTACAGAACCAATGTTTTTAATCAATGTTTTAGACGGTTCTTTTTCACAGACTCTGCTTCATTTTTGCACCACAAATGAGAGGGGATGAAGCATTACCCCATGGGAGCACCACATGAATCAGCCCCCCCATTCAACAGTGTTAATACTGATTAATGAAAGAGCACTGCAAATGGAAAAGCTTTACAGCAGTAGCCCACAATAATGCACACCCAAATTCTCAGAATCTCTGTCAGCCCTGCTGCTGCTGCTACACAGGAAAAGTGGAGAGGCAGCGTGAGCCACTCCAGCTAAGACAGAGCTATTACTTACTCATTCCACACAGATGCCTTCTGCCATGGCAACACCTATTAGAGTCTGAGTTGGCTGACGGACTGCTAAACAGGAGAGCTTTTGGTCAACACATTTCAGGCCAGATTTTGAAGCTGCCTATTTGTTCTCCCAGGCGTTATCAAATTTAGTGGTAAAATAAGCAGGATATGACCACAACAGACTGCGATGAATCAGTGATTAATACCAAAATTATTGCATTAGATGCTGTGATTTTGTATCCTTTTTTCAAGTACAGAGTTTGGAATAAAAACACATCACAATGATGGAGCTACAGGACAGTTTTAAACATCTGTCCCATACTTGGATGTTTAAAACTTAAAAACTTTCGATTCATTATTTTGTCTGGTCTTTGTCCAAATTACATCTTCCTTGTCTATTTCTTTGCAGCCTGCTATGTCTACACGGTGGGCTTGTACTGAAGACTTTGGATTGCTCTCCACTGGGCACAGAGGCCCATGTCCTCATGACCCATTTATGACACTTGCTGCCAGAAATCATGTCAACTGCCATGCCACACACTGTAATTTAA